GACTTGTCAAACATCCCTGTCCAGGACTTGAGGTCTCACTCCTTCTCTATCAGGGCTCTGGATTTAGTTTAGGAGATGTAATGAAGCTACACATACATTTATAATGCCTTGTGAGGTCTACCCCCTTACAATTAGCTCCAAGGTCTGATTTCTAGCACTGTCTGCTTTGTGGCAGCAGAAGATTAATGTCTCATTAAATGTTGCCCAAAGGTATCCTGGCTTTTACAACATACTTCTGAATTGGTAGTTGGCTGACCCGGGCCCCATCATTCTATTTCTTCAAAACTTCTGAGTAAGCTAACAAGGCTACCCTTTATTCTTAAAACTCCATTATTCTTATAATTATCATGGTTCACATAATATTAATGTGCTGGTGTTAACACATAACTGTGTTATTGTGTTTTGTCTTGCATCTGTATCTCATCACAGTCTACCAGAAGTGAGCTCAGTAATTATGCTAGGGGTTACCACCAACCTGCTTACCCAAGCAGTGGTGAATGGTCCAGTTCCACATTTTCACCTGGAAAACATGCTTCCTAGGGCTATCCAAGCACCAAGTGTCAAACTGGGTTCCCTCCCACCAAGCACAACCCAAGACAAGATGCAAGTGTAGTTTAAATGGGAAGTCATTTCAGGGGGCAAGAGGAAGTTTATTCATTTGAAAGGTGGTTCCAGGGAGCAAGACTGAGGTTATGGACAGAGCAAGACAAAGAAGGAAGGAATATTCCTCACTGAGGGGTCATTCCTGAGGTGCCTGCTATGGACTTCAGGGACTGGATTGTGCAAGAGCATACAGAATGCCTCCCAGAACTGTTCGAAGAAGAGGCAGTGGGGTGTTTATCCATTGGCTCCTGTCTCCCATTTTTCAAGGTGTCCTCTGCCATCAGAACTCCACATGTGCTCAGACCAAGTGAAACCCTCCAAACCCCATTGTTCATGGTATCAGAGGATCTCAGGAAAATGGTGACACTGTCAGCTCGCAAGGAGCAGAAACATGCAGGGGAGATTTCCAACACAGCCACAGCTGAAATCAGAAGAATGATGGAGATAGATATGAATTGAAACACCAGCTCTGTCTGCTGTAATCTGCTTCATACAGTTGTTGTGAGGATGGATAGGAACTCTGAGCTGCAAGGTTCTTAGCACATTCCTGTGTCTGTAACAAGCACTCATAAATGTTACTAGTTGGTATGTTGATATCTTGTTGAACTTCTATTAATATCTTAATGAATTTTAGTTCATTAATAATCTTCACAGCAATGTTCTATGATAGAAGATATGCTCATTTCACAGATGAGGAAACTGAGGCCCAGAAGGATGCAGCACCTCCTACAAATTCAAACAACTCATAATCAGAGAAGCAAGTCTATCTACAGTGCATTTATGGCTGAATTAGGCTTCTCTGGTGGGAGAGGAGAGGGGCACTCTCTCTGGGGGAATGGGGGATGTGGAATTACTGGTGGGTGCAGGACTTGGAGGAACACACTCCTTCATCTTCCCTCATCTTCTGTTTGTGAATCTGTGACCTTCACAAGACCTCTCCATCTTGAAGGGCCTGGCCTAGACAATCATATTGGTAGGCAGCCCCCAGGTAGACTTCTAGCTCCACACCTATTCAGGCATCATCAAAGGAGCCCAGGAGACACAGTCCCAGGCCACCCCCACTAACAAGGCCCTGAAGGGGATGAATCAGGTTCCTGAAAACTCATGGGGACCTGGGCTTGAGGGGAAGGCTTCTCCCTCTTGTCTCTCTCCTGGCCTTTCCCCCACCCCACCTCATTCTCAGGTTAAGGCAAGTCTGAAAACTAGCCTGTTCCTGTGGGAAGGCCCTGCATTGGGCTGGCCTATGCCAAAGCAAACCCCTCCCTTAGGGAACCTGTCTCTGGTCTCAATTTCCCTTCTGGCTTCTGGGGGACCTAGGGGATGAGGACAAGTCCTATAGGCCTCAGCAACCCATGATTAAGGGAAACTTACATCATCTACCAGAACTACCTGTCATAAAGCCTGGGGGAGAGGCAAGGCCTTTTTAAAGAACACCCAAATACCAGCAGATGTAAGACATTGTTATATTCATGAAGGGCTGGCCTTGTTTAAAAAACATCTTGGATGGCTTCTACCTGTTACTTTTTTCCTGGGAGGGATCATTTCTCAGACAACTGCAAAGGGACAACACCTAGTGACTGGGGCCCTAGGCTGAAGAGGAAATCAACTTGTTTTTCCTCATTTCCCTCTACACAGCTGCTTTCTTTCTGAGTAGATAACTGAGTTTGCATAGCTCTTCATCTTCTTTCCTGAAGAGAACTCCCTGGCTTCTCTGCCCATGCCAGGGTGAGTATTCTCAGGTGCCCATCCACTGCCTTCCTGGTGCCATCAGCTCACACCCACCCCCACACAGGGTGCAGCTGATGCCCCTGTAAAGGGAAGCCTTTGGGAAAAACATGTGGAGTGATAACAGAGGTTTGCATCCTCTCTGACCCTGTGGCCATGCCCCCTTTACCAGATGAAGGCAGCCTGCCCTCTGGTACTCTTAGGAGAGAGTGCAAGGGGATTTCCTGAGCCTAGTTCACTGCCAGTTCCTGACACCAACTTAATCATGCAGCCTGGAGCCAGCACTGTGGTTACAGACCTTCCTGAGCCTTTTTTATCCCTGGAAGCAGGGAGGACTTGGGGAGCCGCCCCAGAGCAGGGAGCTGCCCTAGCTCCACAAGGAGAACCTGGGCTCATTACAAAGCCCTGAGAATGGTGATTAAAAAGGGCTCCTGATGACAGGTCCTTTCATGGTGATCCTTTCTACACTCTGGATGTCTCTGGTTGATCAGAGGTCACCCCAGAATCCCATTGATTTCAAGCAAGCTGTGCTTCTGGCCATGCTAGGACTGGCTTCAGCTGTTTGCTGCTCTTCTGTCCCTGGGTATAACTCAATTGTCTGGAGGGTATACACCTCCTAAGGACCTTATTCTCTGCATGCTTTACATGGAAAGAAATATGCCAGTGTGTGGATTGTTACATGCTTTTCCTATTCCATCAAAACCAGGAGAACTGTAGTCCTTGCAGCAGCCTTGCACCTGGCACTTGCCCTTATCCCTCTACTAAGTCATAGTGACTCATAAAAGTCTAGCTCTAATTCACTATGTTCACAAATCTTCCATGACTACTCCAGTTCATACTAGATAGAGCTTTCCTTCTCTGATATCCTAAGGACCCTTAAACCATCATTTATTTGTTTGAGAAATATTGACTACCTGCTATATGTCAAGTATCATGGTAAGTACTGCTATGGGACAACTGAATCAGTCTTACAGAGAAGAAGGGAGATATGCTTTTTAGAGTAGTAACTTAGTTAGAAGGTAGATAGTGATAAGTTCCTGGAATAATGTGTAGTTGTAGCTGAGGGAAGGAGAGAGAAGTGAGGGATGAGAGAGGGAGGGTAGAGAGAACGAGAGAGAGATCCTTTTAAGATGGAAGTACTTCCACAGAGAAGTCATTCAGCAGCCAGTATTTGAGTCAATTGGCCTCCAGCAGTTGGAAGGAGGCCTGTGCAGGAAAAGAAAACAGCATGAACAAAGGAGTAAAATATCAGGGGTCAGCATCTAATGCTTGTGTGCAAATGGACCCTAAAGGGAAAACAAAGTAGTTAATTGCTCTTTAATATGATAATATATGTAAAGAGCTTTTGTCTACCCAATTGACTTGTCAATTGTCAAGGCATTTATCTCTTTCCAGTGCTGACCATGCCTGAGGAGGATCCTCCTACCATCTCAGCAAGCAGGTGCTCTTGGAATGTTAAGGCCCTTTTAGAGATCACCAGGTCCACCTTTTTATCCATTGAGCGCAGACTCTCATCGCTGTTCCCTTTGGTTAGAGTCACTGGACTCCAGCTGCATCCCATCTTCTGAATCCAGTGTATTCCCTATAGGGAAATACCGTTACTCTTAGTGAAGATGTAGCTCTGCTTATTCCATGGGCAATAAAGAAATGCGTACAGTAATATATTTTGACCAGGAGTTTATTATAAGATATGAAAATCTTGGTCATTCTGGCTTTCTATGTATGCACTTGCTTGACATGAGAACCTCTTCTTAGAGCTATTGGTCAATCTACCTACTGTGCCCGAGTCAAGGACAAGTGCAAGGCTATGCAGAAAAGTAACTTTGCAATGCAGAAAAGGAACTGTCCCTAGCAGGAAGCCACCCATACGTAGGGCATGTTACAATTTTAACTTGTAAAGCAGGTAGCAGTACTATAAAAAGAAAACATCATTTTATTAAGCTGTTATTCAAAGTCCAGTGTAAAGGCTTAATTAAAAACAAGACACTGGCAATTTATTGACCAAGGGGTTTCGCATTTGTATTTGAAAGTATGTCCCTCACCTTGGAGGAATGAACTTGGGTAAAGTGTCTAATATCCACAGTCATGGGGATTAATGTGTTTCCCACGTTCTGACCCTTATAATAGGGAGAATATGGGAGGGACAAGTATTGGTGGTTTGGAGCATCTCAGCTGATGGGAGACAAGAACAAAATTTTTACCAAGGACTCACTTCCCATTAGCTGTGGCCACACAGCTAATAGCCCCTTTGATGTTCTTGTTAGGTCTCACCCTTCCCAGCAGGAAGAAAAAATGTTTACGTTTTGCCAAAGGCATGATGATGCAAAGTCAGGTGGGAACTACTCCTATGCTTCCTCTTGCTAGCAGACAATGTTAGAGGACAGAGTAGGACTGACAGGTGGAGCAGAGGGAGAAGAGATGTGTGTACTGGAAGTTTATCCTCCACAACCCCATAGGGCCATCAGCCTCCCTGCCTTGTGGGCAGTGCCAGTCCCTCTACTGAGAGTTTTAGGGTGATGGGAGGTCATTGAGTGTGATGTGGCTGGGGGTGAGGAAAAATCATCATTTGGAGAGCTAGGAACATATTGGGGAGTTTTGAATACAGCTGCTGTACACCCTTATGTTGCATAAATACACTGAGTCAACTGAGGCTTCCACACTGGGATGTTTTCTTACAGGTTCTCATGGAGCCAGAATTGGGGGCAAATGGAACTACTGTTACTGAGTTCATTCTACTGGGCTTAGTGGAGACACCAGAGCTGTGGCCTTTTGTCTTTGTGATCTTCCTCTTTGCCTACCTAGTTTCAGTTGGGGGCAACCTGAGCATCCTGGCTGCCATCTTGGTGGAACCCAAACTCCACACCCCCATGTACTTTTTCCTGGGGAACTTGTCAGTGCTGGATGTTGGGTGTATCACTGTCACTGTTCCTGCTATGTTGGGTCGTCTCTTGTCCCATAGGCGTATAATTTCCTATAATGCCTGCCTCTCTCAACTCTTCTTCTTCCACCTTCTGGCTGGGATGGACTGCTTCCTGTTGACAGCCATGGCCTATGACCGATTCCTGGCCATCTGCCGGCCCCTCACCTACAGCACCCGCATGAGCCAGACAGTCCAGTCGACATTGGTGGCTGTGTCCTGGGCCTGTGGCATCAGCAATGCACTGACCCACACTATTGCCCTTACTACCCTCAACTTCTGTGGTCCGAATGTCATCAATCACTTCTACTGTGACCTCCCACAGCTCTTCCAGCTGTCCTGCTCCAGCATCCAATTCAATGAGCTGTTGCTCTTTGTCATGTGTATTCTAATGGCAGGTGCCCCTCTGGTTCTCATCATCACCTCCTACATCCATGTGGCAGCTGCTGTTTTACGAATCCGCTCAGTGGAGGGCAGGAAGAAAGCCTTCTCCACATGTGGCTCCCACCTCACTGTGGTTTGTCTCTTCTATGGAACTGGTATCTTCAACTACATGCGTTTGGGTTCAGAGGAGTCTTCAGACAAGGATAAAGGGGTTGGGGTTTTCAACACAGTTATCAACCCCATGCTGAACCCACTTGTCTATAGCCTTAGAAACCCTGATGTGCAGGGTGCCCTATGGAGGGTGCTCATAGGGAAGTGGTCACTGACCTGAGCAGTGATAGGCTGACAGTGCCTCTCCTTTCCTGCTTTTTCTGAGTTGAGGAAAATTTGCCATGAAAGCAGTAACCTGGAGAAATTATTACAAACCGTTCATTTATACATTCTGATGTTGGAAAATTTTGTGTGATGTATCTGTCCTGCAAAGGATCCCTACATAATCTATTCATTTACTTGGACAACAAATGTTTATTGAATTGTTTCTATGATTCAAACACTCTTCTGGGGAACTGGTGAACAATCTCTGCACTTGTGCAACTCACATTTTAATGAAGGGTGACAAAATAAATGGCATAAACACACATCATATTTGATACATCTTATAGTGATATGTGCTATTAAGAAGAACAGGTAAGATAACAGGAAATGAGGTTAGGGTCTGCCCAGCAAGGCCCCCCAACCCTGGCAAGTTGCTACCTTTTTTCTGGCTATGCTTACTTTTCAGGTAGCATTGAAGCTTTGGAAGCCTGGCAGCTCTGGGCAGCAGTAGTTTAGAAGGAAGGACTATTTTGCTTGGTCACAGCCTAAAGAACCACAAATAGCACTATGAAGTTTTCTTCTCATGGGAAATGGGAGATTCCTTCTAGATCAGGGTGCAGAAAGATGTTTTAAACCAGTGCCAAGGATTATTCTATTCTATGGTTCACCTTTCACCTCTAGGAAAATCAGTTTCTTCTCTTTATTAATGCAAAAAAAAATCCCATAAGATGTTTAGGGGACAGGTAAGATCTAGAAAGGGAAATAACCCATTACATAAAAGCTACATCAGTACATACATGGTATATCTGCAGGTCTAAAAAGACACATTGCTTCTCCATCCTCTGCCACATTCTTTCTCCTTTATTAAGTAACTCACCATTCTCACATATACAATAGTTTTCGAAAGAGTAAGCATTATTACTCCAATCAGGTCCTTAGAATTTGCACTGTAGGATGTCCATTGTAACCTTCTCCTCCAAAGTTCTTCATTTCTCCCCCAAACCTCTTAGTTCAGAAAGTATCCATAAATGTAGTCTCGGGGAGTAATGCCTCTTTCTGAATTTACTTAGTTATATGTCAGTGCAGCTCCCACGCAGAGGATTCTCTCTTCTTGAGTTTCTCCAGCCTTCAATCATCCATTCCCGATTTGTGTCTTTTCTTCAGCCTTCTCCAGAAGGCTACTAACCTGTCCTGGCAGTTCTGCTCTGATGTCCCTCTACTGTATCACTCGTAAAACTGTCCCATGGCTATACCTGGAGCTTGGCTTCTCTGTGATCTCTTGTTGGAGCCAAGAAACTGTAAGAATGAGCTGAAATGAAGATGGGGGGAAAGGACATGAGGGTAGACAGTAGGGCAGGATTGGGAATAGAGCAATGAAGATGAGATGCAAGAATATAGGGATAAATGGGACAGCATGGTGAGAAAAAGAGGTGAGAAACAAAGATAGCATTTGGGGAAAGGACATGAGAAAATGGGAGATGAGAGAGAATGGGAGAATTAGGAATATCCAATGAGATGACTAAGGAAGGTTGATGTGGAGCAAAGGAGGATGAACAGGGATGGGAGACAAGAACAAAATTTGTACCAAGGACTCACTTCCCATTAGCTGTGGCCACACAGCTAATAGCCCCTTTGATATTCTTGTTAAGCCTCACCCTTCCCAGCAGGAAGAAAAAATGTTTACGTCTGCCAAAGGCATGATGATGCAAAGTCACCTGGGAACTACTCCTATGCTTCCTCTTGCTAGCAGACAATGTTAGAGGACAGAGTAGGACTGACAGGTGGAGCAGAGGGAGGGGAGATGTGTGTGCTGGGGGGTTATCCTCCACAACCCCATAGGGCCATCAGCCTCCCTGCCTTATGGGCAGTGCCAGCCAATAGAGTCTAATGAGCAGAGATGAAGTATGTAGTTCTCTGGACTCTTTGGGGTTAGAGAATGAGCTCAAAGGGCAGAATTCTTGTAAAGGACAACCAGGCATGTGGGCTGTTACCACTACTCAGTGACCTTAGAAACTTCCTTTCTTCTGGTGTAGCTCAGTGGATTGAGCGCGGGCCTGTGAACCAGACAATTGTAGTTCAAATCCAAGTCAGGGCACATGCCTGGGTTGCAGGCCAGTTCCCAGTGGGGGACACATGAGAAGCAACCATACACTGATATTTCTCTCTCTCTCTCTCCTTGCCCTCTAAAAATAAATGAATAAAATCTTAAAAAAATCTAAACAAACAAACAAAAAAAGAAAGTTCCCTTCTGTGGTTGGGCTTGTTTCTACCTATTCCATAAGTACCAAGGATGATAGCATCTCTTCACAGTTTTTCAAATTTAACTACCTTTGATTATAATGGTCTGGACTAGCTCTTTCCTAGGGATGAAACCAGCAGATATTTTGAGAGCATGACCACCACCATTTTCACCACTCCTTCTAGCTCTGAGCACTTAGCACTGTCCCAGTGTATCCTATCTATGTCCCCCAAAGGGTAATCTGCCCTACGTCCACCCTAGGCCTTGGCATGTTTCCTCCTGGACCTCTCCTCCAGACAGAAGGGGGTCCTTAACAAGTGAGGAAGCTGTATTTCATTTGGGACTTCTCCCTTTGTGTCCCCACATGTAAATATCTTCAGTTAAAAATTATTCAGAAATCAGCGCAGATCTGCGAACCAGAGTATTGCAGTTCAATTCCCAGTCAGGGCACATGCCTGGGTTGCAAGCCAGTTCCATTCAGGCCAGTTCCCAGCAGGGGATGCACTAGAGGCAACCATACATTGATGTTTCTCTCCCTCTCTCCTTCCCCTCTAAATATAAATAAATAAATTAATATTAAAAAAATTATTCAGAAATGTTATATTTCATAGTGGAAACATTCAGATTCTATTATTTGGTCAAGTATAAAGTAAAAAAACAAGTGTCCTTTGACACCTGGGTCCAAGTGTCACTGCACCAAAAAAACCTTGATTCAGCGTTAACTCCTCTGAAGAGTTTTATGTTCATTCCTCCAGAGATTTTACACATACATGACATACATATTTCACATCCTGAGAACAATTACTGTCCTGTGACTTGCCTTTTATTTTCCTACACATTATGCAATATAACTCTTACATGATAATAATTCTTTTTTACTTGAATGTTTGCACAGCGTAGCATTGTACACATAAGCCATAATTCACTTAATCAAACTTCTATTGATATAATTTTAGTTGTTTCCAACTGTTTTGCAATAACAAATAGTGCTGTGATGAATATCTTTACAAAGATCTTTTTCCAAATTTCTGTAATTATCTACCTAGAATTAATTCCTATGAATAACTTTATGGAATTAAAAATGCAAATATAAATTTTGAGATACACATACACACATACATGTTGTCCTCTTACTTTCCAAGATGGCTGCACTAATTTGCTAGGTTATGACAAGTGCCTGTGTAGCCTTGTCCCTCCCATCAAGGCTTGTTATGAATAAATGTCTTTACTGGTGCAACCACTATGGAAAACAGTATGGAATTTCCCCAGAAAATGAAAAATAAATCTGCCTTTTGACCCAGCAATTCCACTGCTAGGATTATATCCTAAGAATCCTGAAACACCAATCCAAAAGAATCTATGCACCCCAGTGTTCATAGTAATAGCAACACAATTTATAATAGCCAAGAGTTGGAAGCAACCTAGGTGCCCATCAGTAAATGAATGAATCAAAAACTATGGTAGATTTACACTATGGAATTCTATGCAGCAGAAAGAAAAAAAAGGAGTCCCTACACTTTGCTACCATATGGATGGAATTGGAAAGCATTATGCTGAGTGAAATAAGCCAGGTGGTGAAAGACAAATACCATATGATCTCACCTTTAATGGGAACCTAAACAACAAAACAAACAAGCAAGCAAATATAACCAAAGACACTGAAATAGAGAACAGGCTGACAGGGACCAGAGGAGAGAGGTGAGGGAATTTCAGGGTAAAAGGGGAAGAAGGGTTTATAGTAACAAGTATAAAGGACACATGGACAAAAAGTAAGGGATGTGGAAATGGGAGGGAGGTGGGGAGGGCTGGAGGGTGGGCTGGGGTGGGAGTAAAAGGCTAAAAACTATACCTGAACAACAATTAAAAAAACCCCTAATGTCTTTAATTTTTATAATCTAAGGGTTAAACAATGACAATATTTTTATTTGAATTTTTACATCTAGGTAAAACTGTAGTTGAATCTGTTTTCACATATTATTGGCCAATTTTTTCTTTTGGAACTGCGTTTTGACACTTAAGCCCTCTTTTCCACTGTCACCTGGGAACTACTATGTTTGTTAGGAAACCTCATCGTTATGATGTCAGCTTCTTGTCATGTACTTATAAATACTGACTCTAGCATGCCATTTGTCTCAGCTTGATGTGTGTTTTGCCACATAGATGTATTACATTTTAAAAACACATTACATTTTTAAAAGACAAATCTGTCTTTTCTCATAATGCTTTTTGATTTTGGGTCTCACTTTAAGAGTTTTTCCACATCTGTATCAGGCAAGATAGGCTAGGTTACATTGTGCTAACAAACAAGCCCTTAAAATCTCAGTGGTTTGCAACAGCAAAGGTTAATTTCATATCCACGTGACTTCAATTATCTGATGGATCTAAGAAGAATTGTTGGGTTTGTTTATTTTTTAGGTTGTTCATCTTTTTTCTTACTCTAAGGATGAGAGTAACACCACCCAAGCTCTTTATATGTCAGAGTGGAAACCAGACATCTACATATTTTTTTATAATGTTCTATGGTGAACATGACTTCGATTTTCCCCTAACAGCTGCCAGTTTCCACTTGGCAACCTGGTGGTTCCAGGGAGTATGGTTCAGGGGTCCAGAGTGGAGTTATCAGCACACCTGACTGGCCTGTCCACAGTGATGTTCTTTGTGGGCATGTGGCTTCAGTTAGTTTAACAAGATCCTTTATGCTATCGACAAGAAAAAAATCTGGATGTTGTGAATTACATTATAGCAGCCAGAGAGTAAGAGAAAGAGCCAGAGCAGTT